ACTCTTAATCCTTGTCTGAATTCATTTTCGCCCATCCTGCGCGAAGCGCGGAAGCTTTCACGTTTCATTTAATTATTAGAGAAAGAAGACGATTCGTTGTATCGTGTCCTTGTCTGAATTCAGTTTCTTCCCCTACCGCGCGAAGCGCGTAAGCTTAGATGGTTCAATAAATTGTTACTCTTAATTTTTTCTGTATTCATTTTCGCCCATCCCGCGCAAAGCGCGGAAGGTTTGCCGTTTCACTTAATTATTAGAGAAAGAAGACGATTCGTTGTACTGTTCTCTTTATTAATCCTTGTCTGAATTCAGTTTCCCCACATGATGTACGTATGGAACGTTCGTTCGCAAATCTTTGCATGCACAGCCCGAGTGGTGGGTATCATGTTATCTCCCGTTAGTGCTTGTCGCAATAGCTTCTGGAAATGAATTGTATACTACTGTTAGTTTTATCGGCCACTAATTAGGCCCATTAGTGACTTTACAAAATATAGGCTCTTCCTGGCTATTTGGGAATGTGTCAGTTTGCAACAGAAATGGAGAAACGCGAATTATGTTGAAAATCATGTGATTTCACGAACCTTTTCTAAATCACAGTCATGGTTGGATTTTATTTCGGGGGAGGGGAGCTAACTCCCCCAAGCCCCCTCCCCCCACTAGTACGCCAGTGACATAGGCCTACATAAGCTTTTCAATGAAACAAAAATAAGATGTGACATCATAATCTTTCTCAAAAATAAAAAATGTTTTATGATATATCAGGAAATAAAATGAGTGAAAAAAATAAAAATAAAGATACAATGACGTGAAATTTAAAAAGGGTGAACGGAAACAACATAGCAACTAGTGAACTATCTTATGAGTCATACTAATTTCTAAAAATCTTTCTTCTTGTCTCCGATCTCATAAAGAATTCGTCACAGAGTTCATCTATGTTTACATAGTTGTCTAGGATTGTTTGATGTGCATTGCAGATTGCTACTTTTGCGCTTCGCGCTTAACATTTAGCTCGTTGCTTTTTAACGCTGCGGCTTTGCATTTGGCGCACTGCATTTCTATGATGCTGTTGATTGAACAAATTGAATAAATTCATCAATTCCTGATGAAGCCGTATGAGCGGCTTCAATTTATTTAATTTATTCTTGTCTCATATGCGGTTGTCTCATTTACTTCGTTTATATATGTATGTATTATGAAAATGAGATAGCAAAATGTGTATATTGATGGTCATCTTGCGAGTAATAACCATTAACTACTCTCATCGGGCTCTCATCATTAATTTTTCTCTTCATTTTTTTTTTGGATGGTGAATTATTGGGGGGGGGGGGGATGATTGTACAGGCCATCTCCCCACCTGAAATATTGGGGGGTATATATCCCCCCATCCCCCCCCCCCCCCCCGGTATCGACACCCATGGATTATGTGCATCTTCATGATAACATTCAGCTGTTTTAACAATAACGACTGCGTAAGCATTTTCGGTCATTGACAAAGGAGCAGTTTCCCTCACTTGGGTTTTGTTTGGATGGTGTGCTCTGTAAGAGTGTGTCTTAAATAAAAGCATCCTCAATGGGGAGCAGCAAAGTTGAAAAGCAGACGATTTTGGTTATATGAAATGTATTATTACTGATTCGCAAACTTTCGCACACACCCATGACCTTATAAAACAATTAAAGGGCCATGATCTTTATGAGCTCTATGAGTTGTAGTTCTGGAATATTATGAGGAAATTGGGGGAAAAATAATTTTAAATCACAAACAATCTAAACATAACCTACCTGGTAATATCAACATGTATTTCAAAAATAGAACACAGTACATGGAACAACAATTTTCAATTATTAACCAGAATTACACATCGATTTCCCATGATTTAAACGATTTATTATCTTCTGCGCATGTATATTAACATGTTTAAAATCACTATCTTGATTCTTTCCCGGCTTATTGGCGGTGACCATCATGAGATCAAAGTGAAGAAACATGTGCGGAATGCTATTGAGACGACATTGACGGAGACAATCACAATGAATTCGTTAAGAAAACGATGAATGTCCATTCGAAATAGGTCCATGGGTTAACCAACTTTTATGCAAAATACCGACTGATAAGCATTATGACATTTCATGATCATTCCAATTTATTTTGCAATTAGCAGATTGCCTTAAATAAAGTAAGTATAATTGTGCGTGGCTCTAAATGACTGTGTATGAAAACCGTTTGCCTACCAATCAAGGCTTCTAAAGTTATTGGTTTAAGTCAGCTAGGGAGCTTTCTTAAACTTAGGGTGACATACTTCAATTGAATGCCTCAGTTGTGTAAGTATTTTACTTTCAAACACCAACAACTGATTTGAGATAAGCAATGAATTGTATACTGGCCCTTGTGCAAAAAAAGGGGTTGGGATTCCCTAAAGAGTAAGGCAAGAATTATAAACTTATATCATTCTTTGTTGAAAGGGAATCATGCAAATTATCTTGCAATACGCCGGATTTTCCAGATGATGATCATGCAGATCAATATAAAACTTGTTCTTCACAAAATTTATGTTTGTGTTTGTGGATGTACATTGTAGCATCAAAATATTATTAACAGAAATGTGTGTAATTTGGGGGAAACTGGCTATGAGATGGGGCTATGTTTTTAAATTTTCTTTTACCAACTTGCTCTTCAAATAAAATTAAATAAATCTACATACAGGGAACTCCAATTGAAACGGGGTCCAGAGGATTTAAAATTTTGTCCTTGTTATAATGAACTCCCGTCATCACCAATCACAAATAAAAACATCAAAGAAACAAACCCATGTATCTTTATATTGTTTTAATGTACTCATTAAGCTCCAAGATAATATGTAAATCACTGAAATATCTGTTACAAATTGGTCATTCCACATGGTTTCGGCAATTTTTGTGACATACCAGAAGTAAGAAACCATAACTTCCACCAACCATAACAATGTTTGCTCAAATTGAGTTTAGCATATTAAAAAGCATAGCCAATCATGTTTAGCAGTATTTTAGCTTTACAGTGAATCGATATTTTACATGTATCTGTGATGTGCATATTATGCTGGAAAAATAAGAAATGCATATTTCACCAAGATTTGGAGGAGATGGTACGTGTAACTAAAACAGGAATGATTGTGGGAGGACACTACCATATATTGATTAAAAAATATCTCAAACAGATGATTTTAGATTTCATGTGTAGTATAAGATCTTGTAGCAAAGTTACATGTACGTTGTCATAATCTTGCCCCAACGTCATGAAATGACCCACATGTGAGGAATACGTTCTTTAAATGAATACAAGAGCATTATTTTTTAAAGGACTTTCAAAGGTTTTGCAGATGATAATTTATCAATGTAACATATTTTATTTAAAAAAAAATATATAATTAAACAAAAACTGAATCCTCATGAATAAGGATATATTAATGATTCTCCTTTATGCATTGCTGTCAGTTATGACGGAGGTTCCCTAGTTGATAAACATAGTAACATAAACATGCTTTAGCAGTCACGCAGGCGAACACTCGCCAATTATTATTCCATAAATATGAGAATGTATACTATTATGTACATCTATTAGGAATAAATCATTGTCAAAATCATTCCATCAATTTGGGCAACACAAATTACTTTCCATTTATGACCAACAATGTATATACAGCGTATATCAACAATTTTTAAACAAATATTTATACTAGTTTATAAGATTTTCTTAATAAAAACGAACTGTTGAATCCAAACCAATACGGGTTTCGGAAATACCTCTCGACAGATTTAGCACATGTACAGTTGCAAAAATATGCCACAAAATTACCAGTGCCATGATAAATAAGGAACACGTAATAGGAATATTTGTTTGGATTTAAGTAAAGTGTTTGATACGCTCAATCATGCTACATTGATTCGAAAACTTTAGACGTATGAAATTCGAGGGCAAACTCTATTCTTGTTTAAAGATTACTTGTCGAACAGACAACAATATATTTCCTTTGATATACTGCCTCCATTCTTTTACCGATTAGGAGTGGTGTTCCTCAAGGCTACATTATAGGCACATTTCTTTTTATTTGAATACCTTGAATTTGGAGTTACCAAAAATGTCCACAGGGTTTAAGTTCAATCAGTTATCTCTTAATCTAAACAAAACTAATTTAAAACAATAACAGTTTGCTAAATTATTAAATTTTAGATTACAATCATAATGTTCAGATACTCCAATAACTTACTCCCTATGGCATTCTATAACCTGTTTGTTACAAATATACAATTAATTCTTATCCGACACAAAACTCTCAGAACTTTCATTTGATGAACCCAAATATGCTAATTGCGCATAAATCTAACTGACACCATGGACCTGACTTATGGAATATTCTCCAACTACTGTTAAATCATGTAATACGATATATTTTTTCAAGGCTGCCATAAAGCTTAAATTATTGTCATAAAAGTCATAATTCAATAAGCCCTCCAAACGCAAATATTCTACACAAACACACGTGCATGTGTACATTACACAAATAAGAACAAAACATATTTTTAACTTTATTTAATACATTCATTTCATGCCTTTTAGAAATATGTAATTCGTTCATTATGCGGCTGTCACAATTAATTCATATCTGATTACATGCAAGAACTGTATATCTTTCTAGTAATACGTTGTGTCGTTTGATGTTATCTTTCTACTAGATGGAATTCTAGACAGAATGTTAATATCTTTCTTCTTTTTTCCTTTTTTTTGTATGTTTGATCGAATCAAGAGAGAACTTATAAATGGACATTTATAAAAAAATAAATAAAAAATAAAAAACTAAAGAGTAACACAATACATAACGTTAGACAGACAAATATCAGAACACTAAATAGAGCATACTGCAGGCAGTCACAAAATAAAGCATATTTCAAACCTCCGTTTAATGAAATGGGTGGCAAGTTTGTAACGGTCATACGGTATTCAAGATCTCGAGAGCCAGCAATGTTGAAAGTTACTCACTCTCGTTTTCACCTTCGTCATGATCATCCTCGCCCACGCTAGCGTCCTGGTCGAGAGAACATTCGTCATCAGCATCAGCATCGCCCACGCTAGCCTCCTGGTCGAGAAAACCTTCCTCATCATCATCATCGCCCACGCTAGCGTCCTGGTCGAGAAAACCTTCCTCATCATCACCATCGCCCACGCTAGCGTCCTGGTCGAAAGTACCTAGGTCAATATTATTCTCATATGGGCAAAACCGTCGGTCTTCAACTTCTTGTAGCGCACCCGCTGTGAACAAATCGTTGAAGTCTCTATCTAATTCTTTTTTCAGAACTAAGAATCTTATGTAAACAATTTTTAGTGCGTCAGAGTCTGGAAACTTTCTAGTACTGGCAATGCTCTTTTGTCCCATGAAAGTGCTCTCTACATCAATACTCTGCAATGACTGTTCCTGACGTTGTATGAAATCGGTCATTAACTTGTGGGAGTTTTTGCGGAAGTCGTCATTTTCTTTTGATAGTCTTTCTCTGTGTCCCCGAAGAATCTCTGATTTTTCACGAAAGGAATTCTCTATTTTCCCATCGAGATTATCCAGATGTGAATGCATATCACGCATATGTTGTTTAGCATTGGTAATAGACTCTTTGATCTGTGCTTTCTTCTCCTTACTTTCTTTTAAGAGAGAGTCTCTATTCTTGTTCAACTCTGCTACAAACTCTTCCTTCTTCTTGAAACTGTGATCATGATGTTTATCAAACAAACAAGTCAGACAGATGAATTCCTTGCAAACTTCACACAGAATGTCTTTGTAGACTTGACTGTGCAGGGAACAGTACTCTGATGATTTGCCATTGATCTTAAGATGTACATGTAATTCATCCTCGAGGCCTTTTACAGAGAAATTTGGTGATAGTCCTGCGACTCTATTTTTCCCCAGCTTGGTGTGTTTCTTACAAAGCGGACACTCCATGAAATCTTGACCCCGCCACTTTTTATCGTATTTGTCCAGACAATCCTTGCAGAACGTATGTCCACATTGTAGGAGAGTGGGGGCCTTGAAGACTTCGAGACACAGTGGACACGCCAGACTTTCAGGAAACTGTAGTTCTCCCTTTTCAGCCATAATGCAGTCATTATTTCAAATGATTTTATTGTTCATGCAAAACATGATTATATCACAAAAAGTATGCCACGAAACGACACATATAATAGGAAAAGCACGAGAAAAGAGGAAGTAACTAGAAGCAGAGCTTGTTAAAGTGTTAGTTCCTTAGAGGCATTAAATTAGCGTAGACATGTGAGCAAGAAAGTTCAGCCACGTATATAACAAGCTGTGGAAGTCGAAGGCAATGCCACTTTGTCTGAAATAAAGACAAATAAAAACATATTTTGCTTATCATTAGAATTGTATTGCCTTTTTTTCTCTTTATCTATATGCTGTATACAAAACGAAATCCAAGACCTAAATTGCCCTCTCATTTGTATTGATTTGCATGTGTGTGGCCATAAAATAAGAATTAGTGATCGAAGACAAAAATTCTGGAATGCCCCTTGTCAGTTCAAATTGGAAGGCTGCCATAGCCAGTGGCGTAGTCATTAGTGAGTTTCCGCACGGCGACGCAAGTGCTGACTACGGGGTGTTTAAATGAGCTCGCCACCCCGTACTAGATCTACTCCCGACGTTAATTAAGCTGAATACCGTCATAGGTTTGGACGCTACGTGGACATTTTCGCTCTGGGTGCGACCCCCTCCTCCCCCTCCCCTGCTAAGAATAGCGTTGTAGAAGGCTGCGTCACCGTTTGCAAAAAATCGCTACTGGTGGGGGGGGGGGGGTCTTTAGTCTACTAGAACAGTTTTTTCAACTTTTTATTTTCGCACATCAACTTAAAAGAGAAAAGAAGAAAAAAAAAAGCTTCGGGTTACCCAAATTCTAAATGAATTTAAAATAAAAAAAGGTACGGGCAAATGTAATGGTAAATTTTCCAAGCGAGCCCCTTGAAATACCAATTTCTAATATGGTCAAACAAACTATTTTGTATGCGCACACTTAAAAATAAGGGTGCAATTGTGGTGCAGATTTGCATCCACCTGCACGTTTTGGCAGAGGGTGCTCGTATTGCAGCATAATTGCACCCTTATTTCTTAGTTTGGTACCTCGATCGCTGAGAAATAAACGTGAATACAAAAACTAATATATTCGGTCACCTCGATACTTGAATATGAGGATATTCGGACATACTGTTGCTCAGAATTTCCTGTAGCTTAATTTTTGCAAGCGAGTGAAACGAACGGGCGTGGTAAAAATGCAATTTTGGTCGAATGCATATTTAATATATTAGGGTACATCGCTGTCCCAGAGAAGTATATCCGGGCACATATGGGGGCCTATTTAGTCTGTCGTTTAAACATTAACATGAATACTGACCCATGAGTTTGCAGCATATTTATATTTCAATATTTATATTTATTGTAAATCAAATTTAGTAATTCCCATATTTTTCATATATAATAAATTGTCGAGTATATTTAATTGGCGCACCTTCAACAGAAATATAACATATATAGATTTTGACATATAGGGGGAGGGGAGGGGGGTAGTGAACACTATTTTCATCCCCCCCCCCCCCCCCCCACCCTTGAGCACCAGGGGAGTGGGCCCGTCTTCTTTATTTAACGAATTCAGGTAAAATGTACGTGTTTTTACCCTTTTTCCCCAGGGCATCGGCTCAACCCCCCTGGATTTGCCAATGGGGGCACATACCCCTTAGCTACGCCACTGGCCATAGCCACACATGACCCACACCTACAATTAGTCTCCATAACTTTGCATGATTTAGGTATATTGTTTTGCTTTTTTATCTTCCCTAACTTTCTACAAGAATGTATATTCTCATGACTTTAAGAACTATAATTATTTATGTACAGAGAATGAAAATTCATTATATTTTTTTACATTGTACGTTTCAACTATATAGCCTTCATTGGGGAATATCATCTGCCGAGTACAATAAAAAGGCAACTTTTGCCCGGGTCATATTTTTAATGAGTAGTACAGGCATCGCTCAAAATATGGGAGACTGTCTCCTATTTAGGAGACTGTCTTTTAATGTCGAAGATTTTCTTCAGTATTTTCGGTAGCCTAATTGGGACTTGGGAGACAGTCTCTTATTTGGGAAACCGATTTCTTTCATTTCATATGCTGCTAACGGATTCCTTTGGCTCGAATCACTAATGCGATGAGCAAACACCTCGTGAAAAAATACTCCTTTTGAACGTCAAAAGTTCACCATCACCTTTTTTATAACAGTCTTTTCGTTTTTATCCAAATACACAATCACAGGCTCCTGACCTATATGGCAGGGAAAATTGCCTTGTTGTTGAATTCTATCTAATTTTGTACTTTTGTAAGCACGTCTCCAGTATGGGAGACAGTTTACCAAACGGAATATTCTCCTGATCGAGCCTGCGTCTAGTTTTCTTTATGAACGCAGTTTAATTGTCTCAATGTAAGTTCTTGCTTTATTTGGAACACTTTTCACCCACTGCGTACTTTATTTAGGATGTAACATCATGATATCTTTAGAATTCAACCTGGCAGTATATAGTGAAATATAAGCCACTTCTCATTCACTTTGGCTTTCTCCGTATCCGTTAATCTCTACCTGGCTGGCCTTATTAAAGCTGAGCTGAGCTAGGGTTAGACCAAAAGGTTCAGTCCCTGATGTCGAGGGCTGTTCCACTCGGACTAGCGTACGTCTGGCTCCACTGACCTCCTTTTGTTCTATAGAGTCTAGACGGTAATTTAAGTGCCAAGACCGGGTGTGGACACACTCAATGGCCAATGGCTTATTATTTTACGAGAAAGATATAAATGTATAAATGTAGACTAGTCTATAGACAAACAATCAAACTTACGATAACAATCAGTCCTGGATTACTGGAGCCAAGTAGGTCACATTCGAATCGAATCTGCGAAGAAAAAAGAAATTGTCGTCAAAATCCACCACCTGCGACGTGTCAAAATGTGTGGGTGCGTGCGTGTGCACATGTACAGGTGTACAGAAGTACAGTTTATAAAATGCGTTCAAGAATGTTGACAATGAGAAGCGTAGAAATGGATCACGTGTGTGTGCATTAATTTTTACTATATGACCCATCTTATAAAACAAATAATACATGTTTGGGAGTCAGGCGCGCCGGAAGCAGTTTGGGATTGAAGGAGGGGGGGGGGGGGGGAATTCCGGGGGGCTCAACCTTTCAGGGGCAGTGGCGAAATAAGCAAAACGTTTGGGGGCAGAATAAATGTCTTCATCACCACCACTTGTACATGTTTAATATATGCCCGATAGGGGGGGGGGGGGTACTCACATATTAAGACGAACGAGTGTGGGCCGCTCTAATGGGTCATTTTTTCACAAAAATCCCTAAACATGGGTCCCATTTTTAACAAACATACCATTAAAAATGTGTTCGTTTTTAAACATTTCTAAAATGTCAACTTTTGTTCGGGTGTTTGCATAATAATTATAGCAAACATCCGAAAATAGTCTAAAAATGGGCCTTACTTTGAGAAAACTCCCCCAAAAGAAGTGGCCGGAGTGGAAATGCCTAAATCGAATGCGGACGAGAATGGGGCGGTAAAAGGCCAACATGGCAAGATGGGACTATGCCCATAAAGAAGATACTCTCTGCGAATGCGGAGAGACTCGGACCACATCTTGCATTGCGGCGGAACGAATTGCACAGTTGAAGACCTGGCTCTTGTAAATGAGAGACGGCCATCGCAGTCATCGGGAAATGGAAGAACTTAATTTTAATTCAATTTAATATAGGACCTTTACATTTATCTTGATCTAAGGAGACAGGAACGAACGAACCGTATACCTTTATATCTCTTGGGCCTCTTATGTTTGTGTTATCATTAATTATCAATCAAATTTCTCAGGAAATTAGTCTTCTTAACAATACTGAAATCTTCAAAGGCCCTGTTATTACCCCCCCCCCCCCCTTACCACCACCACCACCACCACCATGATTGCCAAAGCTGTTTGGTACTGACTTATTTTTTATGTGACATTGTCTCCCTCCCCCTCTCCACTGTAGACAATTCGTTTTATTGGATTTCTGTTTTTGCCCTGCCCACTCTCTTATTACACATCTGCCTTCCCTCAAACCGGCATAAGACTGTACCATCAGCCAGGGGCGTTGCTACACCTTTATCAATGGGGGAGGGGGGGGGGAGTTGTAGAGGCCACCGATTACCGATAAAACCAGCCACCAATTACCGACAAAATTTAATGTCCCAATGTATACAAATGTAACCCTTTAAACCTGGGGCCGAAGGCTAAATTGTTTTTTCCTATCTATAGTACTTGCGTATGCGTAAATGGTCATTTTCCTCGACGGCATAAATATACGAATTATTTCATCAACTTCGTCAGCATTATAGCTATATATTTGAATGCACACGCGTAGCTAGGATCTTATTTAAGGGGGCGGTAGTAAGCAAGCGAATCACTTAAGGGCGCGCTCCCCAGGCGACTGGGTAAGGGGCCTCCCGAGCAAAGCGCGGAAGCTTAGACTTTTCATTAAATTATTAGGGAACGAAGACGACTCGTTGTACCTTTCTCGACTCTTAATCCTTGTCTAAATTCTGTTTCCCCCTTGCGCGCTTCGCGCGGAAGCTTTGACGTTTCCTTAAATTATAATAGAATGAAGACGATTTTTGGTGCCGTTCTCTACTCTTAACCCTTGTCTGAATTCAATTTCCCACCTCCCGCGCAAAGCGCGGAAGTTTTGACGGTTCCTTAAATTAAGAGAGAAAGCAGACGAGTTGTTGTACTGTTCTCGACTCTTAATCTTTATCTAAATTCAGTTATCCCCTCCCGCGCGAAGCGTGGAAGCTTAGATGTTTGATTAAATTATAAGAGAAAGAAGACGATTTCTTGTACCGTTTTCAACTCTTCATTAGCCCAAATTGTCTGAATTCAGTTTTTCCCCTCTCGCGCGAAGCGCGGAAGCTTTGACGTTTTCTTAAATAGCTTTGACGTTTTCTTAAATCACTATAGAAAGAAGACGATTCGTTGCACCGTTCTCGACTCTTAATCCTAATAGTCTGAAAT